GTTGAAACTTACAAAGCAAATACTACAAAATTCAAAAGAATGTACGCATAAACTTCCCAGAATAGCAGAAAAGATGCCAATTTTAACTTTTTCTCTGAAAAATTTAAAAGATAAAAGTCAAATTAGCCATCTTCAATTCTACTTAACCTATTAGCAGCTCATCATTAGGAGCCCAGAGATGAACAAGATGATCCACCCCACCAGTAGCCAGTATGGGACGTTGGGGACGAGAATGCCTTGTCATGCACCTTACAGGGTGCAAGTAACTTTCAATGCGGCTAACCCTCTTGGGTTCTCTTTTGTTCCAAAAGAAAATCCTTCCACATGCTGATCCAAAGGCAATGTACTCGTCTTCAGAACCAAAGAAAGTTATGTCATGTCTGTCTAACTGGTTATCATCCGTGTGACCCTGATAAACCCGAGCTTCACTGAGACAGATTGGCACACCATTGAGATGCAAGGGAAGACGGATTGATTTTGGATCTAATCCCATTTCCTGTTGGAACATATAAATCTTTTGGTTGTTGCAAGAAGCCAATAGTTGCCCCATCTTCGAATACGCTATGCCTTTAATGCAAGCAGTACTTCCATTAGCTAGATCATGCGGCAAGAAAACTTTAACAGGACCATTCAAATCTTCTTTCAAAAACCTGGTATCGTAAACTCTGACATATGGATCATTTCCACAGACGGTAATGCACATAGGATCGTCAGGATTCTGTAAGATGCCATTCAATCTAAGGCGAAGTGGTGGGTTGTTTTCAAACCTATAACACTCCAAGAGATTGGTAAGATGAGGGCTTCGGATGTCAAAACATTTGATGAACGCATCTTGTCCACAGGAATAACCCAGATTCGGATTGTCAGTGTCTCTGATAAGACCGCTGACAGATTCGATATGACTGCCCAATCGTGTAATTCCAACTCCACCATTGTGGTGGAGATGTGCAAGAAAGACCTGAAAAATTAAGGAGAAACATTAGCATCCTTATTCAATAACAATTAAGTGTATGTGTTGTGAAAATTACCCTGCCGTTTGAAAGCGAAAATATTATCTTCCCCTCATCAGTCATAACAGCAACTTGCGTTATTGGTATTTGAGTACTCCTTTGGAAGGATATTGTGTCCTTCTCTAAAGTCTCAGTATTCCATCGACTTAAAAAGTGTGATCCAGAGAGTAAGAATCCCCCGGTTGGACTGAAAGCAATGCAGCCAATCGGAGCAATTCTAGATACTGCTGCTTCTCCGTGGTTAAGTGATCCACTAAAATAAATTCTAGATACCATTATATCCGGGTGCATTATGCTGGACCTTTTCGAGCCCTTCTCTCTGCTGAACAATTTCTCTACTATACTCATGGTGATATAGTGCCACTCCCTTATTTCCTACAATGAATCCCATTGTAATGCCAGATCATTACAGGCAGGAAAATGATTTGAACAGAGTTTAACACACACATTGACACTTAATCAATTCAATTATTTAAGTATAATATAAGTACAGCTGACAACTAGTTCTTCCATACTTCATGCATGGCTATACGAATAAAGCATTATTCCCATATTAACACTTCTTTCAGAGACCTCTTCCTAGATCATAACACAATCAATAAAAATCAACAACTTTGTTTGCCTGTTAACTAAGTTATAAGCAAAATTTTTACATTAGAAACAATTACTCTACAAATTGACATCACATCCATTCAAAGTTCAAAACAGGAATAAACTAAAATGAAGAACAAAACAAAGAAAATTCCAAAAATAGAACACCTGTTGATTCGAAATAGCAGAATCTCATTAAATAAGAATAATAATAATGACAAGAATAAAGAATCCAGGACCATCATCACAAAATCCAACTTCAATAAGCTAACTACATCAATCAACAATGGCTAAGACTAAAAATAGCATAGTATTTTAATTAACATATATTCCAGCAACAAACCAAAAGAAGAAACTTGAGTCAGGTTCCTAGCTCCACCCATCCCATCACATAATATATCATTTCAAAAGAAAGCCATGAAATATGTGTATAGAATGGTCCCTGTAAATGATCTTGTGGGATCTTGAGTCTTGACCACTAACCTGGAGGGGTTTTAAATCAATCTCATTCATGGCATGTCGTCGCTGACTCAGTTTTAGTCTATTTCAGCCTTTCGGGACATGAAATGGTTAAATGAAACTGATGATAAATATCTCTTTCTTATGACCGTCAAACATGGAATTGAAAACCTCCATATGTCACGACCATCGCTTTCAATTCTATCGGCAACAAATTAAAAACAAAGATAAAAGGTTGTATGTGATGTTAATGGGTCATGGTCAGCCACGTATGAAGCTCTTTCTTCCTGCAGCATTTTTTATTAGAGAGAAAATATGTAGGGTTTGTTGTCAATGTACCTATAAATTTAAAACCCTAGCTACAATGTACCAATTGTAAGAACTTGCTACTTTGTAATTTAAACTGTATCATATTATAAAATAAATTTTTTCATTATTCTAATATCTTTGAACTTCAGAGTTTTGGATCACTCTGTGCTGCCAAAGTTTCATGACTGTCATTTCATTTTTTTAACAAGCCTTTAATTTTTGAGTGGTCTAGAAAGTTTTTAATTAACAAGAAGAGATTAATTAAAAATATATGATACTTTTTCTATTTTTGAAACAAGATTTTAACAGTCTTACAATTCAAATCTAACACATCGTGGGTTCAAATGTGGAAGCCCGAGGCGAGGCCTGCAAAATACAAATGGGCTCTAATGAAGACTCCCTGGGTTTGTTAGCCCGTTTATGAAGAGGACCTCGATCCGGTCTTGGCCCATGCGATATTAAGCAAACGGAATGCACCACCACGGCTGGAGGATGTCTGTCAAAAAGGGTTGGTTATGTAACACAACATAAATTGTTGGTGCCTAGTAAATTTTAAA